CAACTGACCCTACTATACTGTGTATAAATAAAAAAACAATGTGCATGTGTGAAATTAAAAATATAACATGGCAACAATTTACCTATCACATCATTCATATATATATATATATATAGAGAGAGAGAGAGAGGGAGATTGTATGCATAGAAATCAATACTGCTGAGTAACACTATCAGTTCATATCAGTGATCTTCAGACCCAGTGTAACTACTATTTTTTCAGACTATATATATACAAGCCTCTAGGGGATTGTGGGAAGTGGAGGAAGGAAGAAACCTAGTTCTTTTATTTATGGCAATGATCTATAGATGGTTACATATATATAAATATATATTCTATCAATGTGGAAACTGCATAGAATCTGCAATAGGAGTAGTGACACATGATGTGAAGATCGTTCAAGGCATGAAACTGACAGTCAACTTGCATTTGCACATTCTATTCACATCTACAGAAGCACTATCTCCATCAGTAATCATTGTTATCCCAGAAATACAGTAATTCTTATATATATATATATATATATATATATATATATATATATATTTTTTATTTTTTTACTTTAGAAATATATATTTTACTTCTTTAGAAATATATATTTTACTTTTTTAGAAATATATATTTATATATATATATATATATATATATATATATATGTATTTTATTTTAGAAATATGTATATATATATATATATATATATATATATATATATATTCTACCTTCAACACCATCACTTGATAAGACACCACAAGTGTTGAAACAAAATGGCTATTTTTGCAGTGATTTCATAACATATTTATCTTATAATTTTCAAATAAATAATTATATATATATATGCAAAATATATAGAAAATAGGAAAGAACCATTAGGTTAATAATTTGAAGTTCTTTAGTATTTTTGTTTTTATTTTTAAAAAACAGTGCTCAATACACAAGTAGAGCCTAAATTATAATCACTTTTTAAAAAATATGATTCCATTGCTATATAAGAGTTCTCATGTTTCAAAATAGAAGCTAAAAATTTCAATTTAATTATAGAAATTAAATTCAATTAAAGTACCCAGCTTTGTTTCATCCTCAAGTGAATTTTGGAATGATTTTTTTCCCAAATATCATAAATATATATATATATATATATATATATATATATAATATTTGGGCAGAAACATTTCTTTTAAATATCTTTCATTAAATATGACAGACACAGAAGATTAAATTTAAAAATTTTTTTTTATTTGGTTTATTCCACAATCCTTACATTTTTCCATTTTGTAGGAGTAAGGAAGTACAGAAATTGAATGCAATAAATTTTGGTACTCCCTCACTCCTACAAAACAGAAAAAACATAATGATGCTGGAAAAACTAAATAAAAAATTAATTAAATCCTTCTCGTCTTGTTGTATTTAACTATATATATATATGTATATATTTATAATTAAGTAATTGATCGAGTCAAGAAGAAACCTCAACAGAATGCAGAAAGCACTGGATGACCATTTTGTCCTATATCTGGGACTCATCAGCCGTGTGCATACACTACCAAGAATTGAAACCCATGAGCCAGGGAGGACCAAGAGCTTGACTCAGCACCATTTACCACAACCAGTGGGTGACAAACAGGATGGATCAATATACTATTTTTGTTTTTAAATTCAAATTCTTTTTGTGATTATTGACACAATATAATTGAAAATATAAATATAAATACAGGTAATTTTATTCCAGATTCCAAAAATACAAAAACAAAGATGAAGACTTCTGAGACTAGAAAAAAATCTAAATGTTTTTTCACACAAATACAAATACTCTGAAATTGTATTTAAATATAATTCAAATTATATTTGATTCACCACTACTAACAAGCATTGATAAAACCTGAATTAAAAGATATCAAGACTAGAGCAATTCATTTTATCTATTTGAATTTGTAAAGCCGCAACATACAACCAGGCTTGGTGGTTAAAGATTTTTCAATAACACCATCCACATTTATATGTCCAAATTCTTAATTTTCAATGCTTAATAAAGCCAAATTGCTGCTTAATCAATGCTATGATCTCTCTCTCTCTCTAATCAAGTGTTCTTGATTCATTATGCTTTGCTTTTTTTATTAACTTTAGTCTGCTGAAATAGCAATTACAGGATGCCACAGAGAGAGCACTAGCCAACAGTATGCATAATTCTATTTGTAAATTGAGAAACACATCATCACTGTAAAATATTGTGAAGTTGAAAGGCTTGATTGAAGGTTTTGGTTTAACGAATGCACTCCTTTCTTTTTTTTGTATTAACATTCCACAGTCTATAATTTCACAACCAAGCTCAATTCCACCAAAATCACCCTTGTATGCTGCAGCATCTGCTTTGCATTTTTCTACTGTGTCTTTATTTGAGTCAATGAGATTTTCAGTATCCGTGAGGAACCCAATTTGCTCATGTAACTGACTCAACCTTGTAAATTGATCTTTCAGTTCTGTATTCAACCTGTCCAGTACTGCCTTCAAGGTAAAATCCATTTCTTTTCTCACATTTAGAGGCTCATCTTTTGTCTCCTCTCTAGCCATTCTTTATTTTTTAACCAAGCACCATTCTCTGCTGACCAGGGTCAATACCCCATTCTAAGCATTTTTCCTCACCTTTTGCAATTGAATTTTTACAGAAAGAATCCCATCCACTCTTAACAGATTGTTGCAGGCTTCGAATGTCAGCTTGAGCTTCATTGAAGTTCATTCTAGGATACTGAAGTCTCTTCTGTACTTGGTCGATGGAAGTCAGGATGTCATCCCAGAATGGTTGCATTGTTAGAAAACTGAAAGTTTGCATGTTGTGCAACAGGCATTGCTTCTTGTGTCAACTGATATTTGATAAGTAGCTTAATGAGTGCAAGAAAATTACTGGGATTATTACTTGATGCAATGATTTCTCGGTGTTCACAAAATGCCAGATGTTGAGTTGCCAAAAACTTACAATCCACAAAACGCATGAGCAGATCCTTCCACACTTGTTTCTGTTTCTTCCTATGCTACAGTATTACTTGTAGACTCTTCTGATATATGTCTCTCAAAGTCTTGAGAAATGACGCATAATAATGATTGCCATGTTCATGTTCTGGTATTCTTTCATTGTATTTTTTCCATTTTTGAAATCAACAAGATTTTTTGAATATCATGCTTTGGTTGACAGTGGCTGTTGAAAACACTAAACAAAACAATGCACTGCATAATTTTTCATAGTTAAAACAACCAATTATGCAAAATCATAGAATCATCCTGCAGTTTACTTTGAAACCAGTAATTTATGAAGCTGAGTTAGACATCCACATGTTTGTGCTTGTTTCACTTCTCATCACTTCTTTGACATGTTGATTCTTAATAACTTTCTGATCTTTTGTAACTTTGAAAGAGCTGTCTTTGTTTTGAAAAGCCTAAGCACTCATCTTCACCATTTGTACATATAGATCATCAGAAATTTGTGGTTTATTGCAATTTACATCAAAATTTAAGCAACATACATCTTTCTTGGTTTATACTGCATATTTAGTTTCATCATATTGTGAATGTTCATCAGATTGAAAACAATCCACTGACCCTGGTTTTGTGTCTGTGTAGTCAGAACCAGTGGCAAGAACAAATGGGGAAACAACACAATTGTCACCATCTCCATTTGGATGTGGCATTTTCAAAAAAATTCTTCATAATTTGACTGGTTTTCTGTAGATTTTCACATTCTCTTTTCCTACAATTTCTTTCTTTCACGCCAGATTCTTTCTTCTTTTGTTGCCTATCTTGTTCCATTCTTAGAATTTCTACCTGAAATAAAAGTATAGCTGTCCCCATCAGTTATATAAAGATCATGAAGCTAGTTTGTCTCATACAGGTGTTTATTATCAACTGAATGACAGCACCATGGAACATTAGTGTGATAACACCATAACAGCATGACAGTAAATAACACCATGACAAAACAAAAGGGGTCAATATCAGAACCTATCCTAACAGCTGAATACATACATACATTGCAATAAAGCATTTTTCCCTATATTCTCAGTGGGAGTGCATGGTTTTCTATAAAAAAACTTCAAAGACCTTCATTAAGTTTCTTGGCATAGTATAATCATGTAATAATAATTATATTATTATTATTGCAGTGAAGGCTACAAAAAACACCCTGCAAAGCTTTTGCTATCATTAATGATAGCCAAAATTGTGCCATAAAACTCATCTTTTCACGTGAAAACCCTGTATATGCTGAATCTATGGCACTGAGTTACAATTAAAGTCATTATATCTAAATCTTTTATATATTCATTGAAATGTTATGACCTCCCAATTGAGATCAGGAGAAAAATTAACATTATTATCATTTTACAAAGAAACACTGGGTTTACCATCCCAGGAATACTTCTTATGACATTAATATGGATTAGTTTTCAACCCGTGGCTCAACTGAGGGAAAACAGAATTAAACAACACTTTTTTGTTGTTTCTTTAACACATTTCACATTTTGGTTGGCATGTGCTTCTACCTATACTGTGCATGGTCAAAGAACTACTGAGCACTGTCACCAAAATAATTCATGATGTGCCATTAATGAAAGAAATATCTGTAGACAGTTATAAATAGGTTAATTAAAGTAAATAAAGAAGAGGGAATTTTAGGTCCTTTTTTACTGCTTTTTGAATTAATTTCTCAACATTTTCACTGATAAATGTGTTAAAACTTGGCCTAACCTAACTTGGTCTTAATTTTTCACCACATAAATAAGTTTAGTTAGATTGGGTCTACTTAGGCAAGATTTTTACACGTTTTTTTTTTTGTGAAAATATTGGAAGTGCAACATTTTACTTGCAATTCACTCCCAGTCGTAGCAATATACTTGTCAATCACCAAGTGATTTTGTACCCCATGATAGTGCTTCCCCTCCCTGCCTCCACTATATATATATATATATATATATATATAATGCTTAAAATGAATTTTATATTATGTTTATACTTACAGATGTATTTTTGGTATTAAATACTGGCATGGATACTGATGTGACCAGTCGCATATTCTAGAATATAATAAAAAAAAAGTTAAAATTAAAATAAATAAGCCACAAAGTAATCACAATTAATAAAAATATGCTAATATACAGCAGGCAATTAACTATTTTTTAATAAAGCATGCTTATTTTCCAGTAATTTTCCTTATCTCCCTTGAGAGTATATTTTTCATGAAGCCAAACCACATCATTCTTGTCATTTTAAATTTGATAACATTCAGTTATGAAATTCAAGAAATTAATATTACATAGCTTTCGTTTTTTCCTTTTGGTATTTTCTTGAATAATTTGCCCTTTTCTTAATTTTATGATGACTTTTATTCAAATATTTGTGAAAATATCTTGGAACCGTCTCCCAATCCAACAATATGAACTAAGATTGAACTGATATTAAAAGGTTCTGAAGTGGAAATCTTTTTCTTTTGCTATCTACATACTTGTTAAGCTAGCCAGAATACTTATCATATGAACAGAGCAAAGATAAAATGGAAGTTCTCTTACCTCTATAAAGTTTCTGTATAAACACTGTTTTCAGCAAGACATCGATTTTCTAAAGTTCTTTTTGCTATTGTACTAAGTTCACTTGAATTTCTACTCTGGACATAGCTACATAAAACTGACTATGAGAGAAACATTTGAATGATTTTCTGTTTGCTTAACTTTGGTAACTGAACTAGAATTTGGAGGAACAAGGAAGTCTTAAGGAATATGGAAGCAAAAAGAACACTTTAATCAGAAAAAAATTGAAAATTTTGTAACACATAATGAGGAAAGTTGACTTGGAGAATGTGACAGTCACAGAACATATTGAAGGCAAGAGTGACCAAGGAAAACATTGAGTAACCTACTTAAAAAGCTTGTCTAATTAGATGCTAGACCAGGGACTGAGTGGGCTAGCAAGGAAATAAACATTGCTTAGAACTATAAAGGATAAGAAGTTGTGGAGAGTCATGACTGCCTACATCCTGAAGGGACAAACCATATAAAAGAAAAAGTTTTTATAGATGTTATTAGAGATACAATATTTTGACCATCTTTAGGTATCCATTTTTTGGATGATAATTGATATTAACTGAATTTTGTTTGTTCCTACAGAACCAGAGCATGTGAATTTCACTATATGTTGCTGGGATTGAACTCACAAACATGAAGTGACTGCAATACTTTTAATCAATGCCTATATCCACTGTGAGTAGTGTAATGGATATTGGCACAGAAAGTGATAATGGTGAATCAAGTTCAAATTCTGGTTTAGTGTGTTATGTTCACCTTTGCACAAATACCCTTGGAAAAGGAATGAATCTGTCTCTTCTCCCACCCTTTTATGGGTTAAATATCAGGTTTGACTAGACTCTTTCGCATCATGTGGCAATCAACGTATAAGAAAGAAAACTTTGAATTCTAAACCATAGAGAAATTAATAGGAAGCCACTTCACTATTTTTACCAAGAAGGCATGGAAATTTACAGATAATAAATAAAAAGAAATCTGTGTAGAGTCATAATTGCTCATGTCTTGAAGGGACATGGGAACAAAAGAAAGTATTCACTGTACTACTGAAGGTCATTTGGTTTATTTTTGGAAACTTTCTATTCCAATATCAGATGTTTTGACATTTGGTTAGCACAGCAAGTTTACACCACTTTGATAAAGTTTGTCTGTTTTTTGAGATGAGGGATTGTCAATATACTTTGATCTTTTCAAACTATTGTTCTCATCTTTAGTTATGACAAATGTTACAGACACAAAAAAATGGACACCTGTAGATAGCTGATGGGTACTCAGCCAAAACTTTGTGTCTATAATAACATCTAAAATAACTAAACATTAGAATAGTTCAAAATGATCAAAGAATATAGACAATTTTTCATGTTAAAAAATAAAAGAAGTACATTATTATATAGTAAAAGAAGGTACTGAAAAGTTCCTGGAACAACCAAGAAACACTTACAAAAAAAAGAAAAGAAAAAATCTGATATTTAGTTACATTTTTGAAAATGGATAAGAATGAAAATGTTTCAGCATCCATTTGTAGCACTAGCAGACTTGAAGAGCTTGGCAAAGAATTTGGAAGATGAGAAAAAAAAATGACCAAGAATTAGAGACATCCAAATGACAGCATTACCAAAATCAAAATACTGAGGAGAGAATTCAGCATGATGTAATGGTTAATGAGCTAGTCTGATTGACCATAATGAGTGAGTAGTGAGATTGATCCTCATTTGGAGCCCCTATTTGTGACCATGTGCTAAAACTAAGCTTAGAAAATAACAATTAGAATATTAAGGAGACTTCCTGTTACTTGATCTCCAGTGAAAAGCCACGAGCCAGTACTGATGTGAAAACTTAAAGACAACAAGCAGAAGATTAAAAGAATATTCTGTGCATTTTATATTCACACTGAGTGTTTCATCTAAACAAGATGATCGGAGGATCTGATAATTGTGAATAAAGAAAAGGGATGAAGATTTAGCATTATTTACATTGTTTACATTCAGACTAAAGTCTTCATCTTTGTTGTTGTTATCCTAACGTTTGGTCCTTTATGCTTTTCAGCCTTTCTCAAGTGCTAGCAGATTGATGTAACCATAAGGAAATAGCCAAGTACATTAAAGTATTGCTTCATGAATTTGTTAATATTGTAATTTTGACTTCAATCTCTGGGCCAGTCAGTTCAGACTGGGACTTGGTGGAAATTGGTTGAGCAATAACTGAGCAGTACTAAATAAGAACTAATTGAGATATACCTAGATATATACTAGAGACCAAAAGTTTTAGTTTTAGTAATAAGTAAGTTTCATACCTTGTTTGGTTTAATTAGCTTCTAAGCTGGGATACTGAAACTAACCTATTAGTTCATGGCTTCCAAACTTTTTTGAGAGGGGTGTTATCAAAAACTTTAAATCTGTTATACCTAAGATAACTATTTGTCAGTGTAGGCAGAAGGAGCCAAAATTCTAAGGTAATTTTATGTAGTAATGAGTTAATTTCATTTTTCTTCTTATAATTATTATTGAATATATGATGAAACTCTTCAGGAAAAGAATGTCCCTATGGTCCAAAGTGAGTTAGTAAATTAGTTTTGAAAAAGTAATAAAACCATGAATTTCTAAGCAATTCTTAGAAATCTAGAGGGTGGCTGAAAACGATAGTGTATGATCAGCAGAATGAGAAAAATCTACCCCTGTAGATTAAATAAAGGACTCTGTTTGATATTTCTTGAAGGTTATCTAGATTGACAGGCAACTGATGAAGTCTGAAGGGAACAATGACCGAAAAGTTGTGGTAACAACAACAAAGATGAGGACAATAGTCCACAAGTGAATAATATAAATAAGGAAATGCAAGTTTAGCAGATATCTTGAGCACATCAACAGGCACCAGGGTGAAGATAGAAGAAAATATTAAGTTAGAAAAATACCAAGATGCTGGCTGTGATTTCAGAAAGTTGCAGAACATGAATGTCAAGATCTTGGTTGCATTAAGAGACCCTCAGAATGATTTGATTTGATTGTTGGGTTTAAAGATCCACCTTTGTTAGGTCATTTTATGACTAATAAGATTAGTCAAGATTAATCATTGCTTAAAGTTTTGAATATATCTTGGTTTCCTTAAGAAATCTAATTATTTTATTTGGATCAATACCCCAAGGTGAAGATGAAAGAAAGGGATAAGGACCTTGCTTGAGAGTTGAAAAAACAGAAGAACATCAAAGTTAAGGCCATATGCATAATAAGTGGCCAACTTAGAAATGTGTCACAACCACTAGAATTTGGATGAATCTGAGGAAGCTATGTGCGAATTATTGAGAAAGGTGCTAAAGATTTTGAGGAGACTTGCCATCACTCAATCTCCAATTATAATCACTAGAAATCTGATATGAAGATATTCTGAAAGGACAGGAATAAGTTTTATTATACAGTGTAACCCAGATATAAGAGAGTTGTCGGGACCGGAGAAGAAGTCTCTTATATCCGGGTTTGGTCTATTTTATATACATTAACACAGGCTCTAATTTGGGACCAGAGAAAATCTCTCTTATATCCGGGTTTGGTCTATTTTATATACATTAACACAGGCTCTAATTTGGGACCAGAGAAAATCTCTCTTATATCCGGGTTTCTCTTATATTCGGGTTACACTGTAATACTGTTTCACAAAATGAATCAATGATATCATTGATTGTTGCTCTTTAGTTTTGTTCTATTTTGTTAAGACTTTCTATTGAGAAGAAATGTTTTACAATGATTAGCATATTACGCTTAACAATAATCAGTCATCAAATCAACATATCAGTCAGTTATGTGCCATGTGTGATACACGCTTAGGCGATCATGTATCTTTTGATACTTGACTGATGAGGCAGATTTTTTCACACAGTAGGTTGCCATTTCTTTCTGCGGTAAACCAGTTGCTATCCAAGTCTATAGAACCCAGACTGTCTTGTTATTTACCCGTAGCTGGGCGAGGGGGGAGGATTCATACTTTTCCCAAGAGCATTAGCATGTAAGTGAATGTAATGGATTCGACTAGAATTTGAACTTGCCTCTCCGATTCCTCAATCCAAGCTGCTATCCATTACTCCACCATGCCATCAACATATAATTAGATTTATAAAAGTAAAGTTAGTAAATTTATGTCTATTATTTATTTCTTTGGATGTGGGGATTGTATCATGGACATTGTTAAATAGTAGGGCAAACTAGAATTCCTAGACTTGTATGGCAATCACTCCAAGGAAAGGAAACTCTGAAATTCAAACCAGGGAGAAAATAAGAGAAAACCACTCTTTCCTAAGAATGCATTGCAATTTGTTGTTAAAGAAAAGGAATATGTGGAGAGCCATGATAGCCTATGTCCAGAAAAGATATGGTATTAAATAAAGAAATTATTCATTATTACTATTTATTATTCATTTTATTATTATTTTTATTATTGATTATTTATTCCTTTATTATTTCTATTTTATTTATTTGGATCTGTTGGCAAAGAAAATGGATTTGGTACAATGAGCTAAAATTTCAACCTTGTCTGTTGCATTCACCTTTGCACAAATACCCTTGGATAGAAAGCATGAATTCATCTCTTCTACCCTCAATTATGGGTTAAATATTATGGTAGACTAGGCTCTCTAGCCTTGGGTGGCAGCCAGTCTAAGAGAAAGAAAACTGTGGTAAAAGAAATAGGAAAATGCTCCATGATCTCTCTCAAAACATTGTAGCAATTCACAGAGATTAAGCACAAAAAGAAAGCTATGGAGAGTCATGATTCTTTACATCCTGAAGGGACATGATATTTTTAAAAATACATAAAAAATTTTGAATGATTCTATTTACCTGTTCTGTTGTTTTTGGAGCAATAAAATCTGCATAAACTGGTGTCCACATTATGTGCGTATGAGCAGATGGTTTGGCAAGGGGTTGACTGAGAACTTTTACATAATTCTGAAAAGACAGAAAAAATGAATATATTTTATGCTAAATAAGTTTTGCCTCAAGATTCAGTTTTAAGAATCTCTCAAGAATGAAAAGATATGAATGATTGCAGTGAAGGACATTTTTGTCAAATTTTTTTTGTGCCATTTTCTTTATTGAAAAGTATGAGAATAAATCTGAACCTTGTGCTTTTTTTTCGGTAGTTCCTTCGTTATATTGAATTTACAACACAAAAACAAAAATTGGGAAAAATGTTTTCCAATATAATCTCAGAATTATTCCTATTTGAATCCAATTAACAATTTTCCTCCATTAATTTTTTTTTATTTGATCCAGAATTTAATCTCCTTAATAAGTACATCATGTAATTTTCTCACAGAAGACAATGAAACTTGATTAACAGCATATCAACTGCTTATGAATCATTTAATGCTGAAATTTAATTTTCTTGGGAGTTTTGAAGTAATAAAAATATGATGTTATTCTGCTTTCATAATTGAATACATGGTAGATAATACTCAGCTTTTGTGTGTGTATATATTATATTGATAATTAATAGAGGCTTATCAACCTCTATGGGTTATTTAATGTAAAAATCTAAATATTTTGAACACAATTTTATGACTTCAACTACAGATAAAATGTATTGCTAGTAATTCTGCTATAAAATGTATGGTTAGTCATTTTGCTTTAAAAATGTATTGTTGGTAATTTTTTTTATATAACAATGTATTGCTTGTATTTTTATACTTTCATATTCTTTTGTTTTTGTTTGGAGGTTCACTATTTGATCATAACTGAGGCCCTAACAGGTGTTACCACCCTGGGTCAGGGTGGACTTGGGAACAACAGCAATTAAGAGGTGGTTCCATGCTCCTCAAAACTGCCAATCTCCTTGCTGCAAGATGTAGTTTATAATCATACCCAGGACTAGATGAAGCTTCCTAATCAAAAGAAATGTGGTTGTACTAATGAATGCTGAGAATATCCTGGACTGAGAAACAAGAAAATCTTAAGGAAAATAGAAATTTATATTTTCAACTGGAAAGAGACCATTTAAATGTCTGTGGGACATAATGAGGAAAGAGGGCTGGGATAATTTGATATTCACAGAATATATTAGAACCAATAGAGGCAAGGGGAAACATGGAGTAACTTATTTAATTGTTTGTGTAACTGAATAGCAGAAAGCATTAAGAGAAACACTAAGGAGACAAATATTATGGAGAGCTATGAAGGATAGGAACTTGAGGAGAGCCATGGTCATCTACATACTGAAGTGACACAGCACATAAAAGAAGTAGGAACCCCCCATATATATATATATATATATATATATATTGAAAGAAAATCAAATATATATGAGGTCAGATCAAAAGATATAATGATTGGTGTTATAAAAAGAAAAACCAACACAGTAATTTAGCATTTAATCTCCTTAGAAGTTGTCTCCTTCTGAAGCCACACACTTTATACAGCACCATTTCCATTGATGGAAGCATTTCTAGAAATCCTTTTTTGGAGTAGCAAACAGTGTCTTGTTAGATTTTCTTGGATTTCCACAATGTCTTGAAATCTTTATCTTTTCAAGTGGGATTTGATGTTTAAAGTGGAAAAAAAAAAAAAAGGAGTGAGATCTGAGGAATATGGTGGTTGCTGAACCTGTGGAATGTTGATCTTGATCAAAGACTGCAGCACAAGCCATGGTCACTGATGGAACCTCAGTGGCATGGTGAGATGACTACACTCTACACACTTTCCTTCCAAGCACTGCTAGAAACAACAGGAGTGAGTGAGAGCATTATAACTTAGTGTGTATACATGACAGAGTTCAAGGTAAACCTGTGTCAAGTAGCTTCACTCTCCATACTTTAGCCCCATCACCATAGCAACATTCCTGATACTTTTTGATCAGATGTTGTGTGTGTATGTGTGCGTATATATATATATATATATATATATATATATATATATTTTTAAAGGTTCTTTTTTAATCAGACATAATTTCTTATAACTATAAATGGGCACATGTGTCTCAGTTGCTATCCCTGTTTTTTATTTTCTTAAATTCAAATTAATAACAACTGGCTTAAATTAATAAGTCATACTTGTTCAACTTAGGCTGATTGTTTTTAATTTCACTGTTTAAGCAAATAAAAAAAACAACAGGAATTGCAACTAAAACACATCTACCCACCAAAATAATGTTTATAGTAATTATATATATATATATATATATATACACACACACACACACATACATACATACATACATACATACATACATACAGGGTGTGATGGATAAGTTGTTGCCATTTTATATTTTTAATTTCGTGTATGTACATTGTTTTTGATTCAGTTGACTGCATATTAGAGTAGGGTCAGTTGGCCAAATAGAACCATGACGCAATTCACTCCACCAGAAATATGGAAACAGTATGCTGTACTGCTTGGCATTCATGCTGGAAGCTCCAATACAAACATTTTAGAGTGTTTGGGTGTCAATCTGAGGACAGCACAGAGGATTTGGAAAGAGTTGGATGAGTCTAATGGTGATTACAAAGGTGTTCACAGTGATCACTAGTGATGGTGACATTATGCCTCCATTCATATTCCCACAGGGTCTTATACTCAACATGGAGGCCTCCTTGAGGAGGTAGTGCTGCTCTAGGTCAAGAGGGTGGCTGCTGGAAGACCGTATGGTGTTTGTAGCTCTCAGTAATGTTTGTCTTTTTACTATTCTTCCATCCATTTACACAAATTTGTTAGGTTATTTGCTGCTTTCCTCTGTCTCTCTTGCCTTCACTATGTCCTGTGAGTGTCAAACTTTCCAGATCTCCTTTTCTGATTAAATGTCCAAGAAATTTCAACTATCTCTTTCTAATTCTAAGTACAAGTGTCCTTTTTGTTTTGATTTGCCTTAAAACTTCCTTATTACTTACATGTTCTCTCCATGGGCATACTCAACATCTTTCTGTCACAAGTTTACTCTCTACAGATATAAAATCTAAATTCTGATTTAATATAGTTTTATGAAGACAGGATCCAGCATCTAACTAGCAATAAAGTTAATAAATAATATCTAATATAAATTTTTTATTATGGAATTTTTCAAGGCTTATTTTTGATTTAATACCATTTTCTTTCAGAACATCATTAATTACGGCTTTCCACAGATTCCTTTTTATAATATGTTCAAATTCTCATCAAGTTCTCAGGAAAGGTAGTGGAGCAGTTGCTGCCTATCACTGTTTCCATAATTTTCAATCCTTAGTTATCTTTTTTCTAGACTGGTAACATTATCAAGGTGGGAGAACATCATTTTATGTGCCATGTCCCCTCAGGCAGTTATGGTTCGCCACAATTTCCAGTCCTTTGTAGCTCAAAATAAATTTTGTCATATTGTCATTTTTTCCTCCCATCCATTTACTTAAGCTCATCAAGTAATTATCATATTGTTATAGGTTATTGAATGGAACAATCAAACAAGTTGGGGATGCTTGCTAATACTTAGGATAAGAACAACACATATAAGATCTGCCAGCATCATGTAAAAGTAGTAGTCAACTGCTAGAAGTGAGTCAAGTGAATTCCACAATGAATCTCCAACTCCAGACCAACATACAGTATTTACTACTGTATTTATGTGAATGGGGACATACTCATTACCATCTGTAGGTATGCTACAACTCATATTTTATATAATCATTCCTAATATCTTAATTATAGCTAGGAGGGAAAAGATGGATTCATGCCTCTCTCAAGGGCATCAAAATGAAGCAAATCCAACAGCTTTGGCTTGAATTTAAACTTGACATGTTGATTCTATTTATATATGAATAGTTGTGTGTATATTTAGCAAATAGATTGGTTGTTGGTTTTATAAGCCAACATGCTTTCATTATTTCTATAAATGGCAAGAATAAAATGCAAAGCACTTTTGCAATGGATTAAAAGAAAGAGGAAGATTACTAAACAAAAGTGCAAAAAATAAGGAAATAAAAGCAGAGAGATTCTGTATCAAGAGAGAACTTTCATTTCTGTGTTTTTAATGTTTTTTGTGGTCTGTCCTAATAATGACTGTGCAGGTAGTATAAAGGTTACCAATGTGGAACATGAAACTCTTAGACTGATTTTAAATCTCAATGGAAGCTGCTAGTGGCAAAACTACATTTTTGGGGCCCTGAAGCTTGAACAGATATGAGAACCCCTGTGCAACCAGGAACAACAGATTTGAGGATTTGACAGCTAAAATGTAGGCTATGAATAGATTCTGGTGAGCTCAACAAGCCCATGCAGCTGGGAGTTTGGGTGTGCAAACCACCCATTGAAATTTTGAAATTTGATCAATTAGAGAAAAATTTTGAAGCTATATGGAATTGTTATTAGAGCATATTCTAAAGCCAACATTAGTTACTTCAATGCATTGGCTTATGATTCTATTACTAAAATGGCCTTATTTTAGTAACAAAAACTTTAAAAAAATTAAAAAAAACATTGATTTTGTTGAAAAAAATCACTCAGTAAAAAAGTTGTTTCAGGGGTCGCTCTGGGGTCATGGGTAATGAAGATTAAATTTCATTAGTTTCGTAGTAGATCTGCTACTTGAGGCTGCTGTATTTACTTCATGTTAATGCCTTTGGGAAAGATATGGATCAGATTCTTCTCCCTTAGTTATAGTTAAATAGTAAGATTGATTGAGCTCTCAAGTCTTGGTGAAGCAAAAGTTCAGAAGAATGAGAATGCTTTACTGTGGAGTAAACTCTATTACCTTTCACAAGAGCAATCACAGTGATTCAAAATATATAGATCTGTTAATGCCTACCATAAAACCCACATTGGTAATGGTGAGAGTAGCCATTTCTATACAGGAAAGATTTGTATTCATTGACCAAACAGTATTACTGCTGACTGAAATTATAAAATCTTTTTCTGAAATGGTTTTTCAGGAAAATAGTTTTCTCAAGTCCACCGTTATCACTCTTTCTAGTATTGATGGAAGTTTCCTT